GCCATCCTTATACTTTCCTTTTATATTGAGTAACGTACCAATAACACTTTCAAATACATTTTTTTCAATATGCATAACATCAAGAAAATGTCTTACGTACAAAGATTTCCAATATGGCAATTCAAAAAAAATTGACCTCTTCTTCCACCCACCTGTGACAACTTTATGTGCAAAAGGCTTGCCAAACTGAATACTCACATCTTTCACCTTTTCCCAAATTTGATCACCTGTCAATCCAGTTGGAGCTCTACGTTGTTCGGTATTTCCATTGAACGCTTTTCTCCATCCACGATATTGATGTTTTGAATTTAAGAATCTACGATGACCGAGAAAGACATTCTTTTGACAAAGTTTCAATCGTGTCGTATCAGTTCCATCTTCACAGACAGGACACGCTTTTTCACCTTTAATGCTATACCCGGATAGATTTCCATATGCTGGAAAATCGTTAATTGTGCCAAACAACATCGCCCTCAAATTGAAACTTTCTTTCCTATATCCATCATAAACCTCCACACTGTTCTCCCACAAAATCTTCAAATCTTTGATTAAAGGTTTCAAGTATACATCTATGTCATTCCCTGGTTGTTTAGGCCCAGAAATTAACATAGATAACATCATGTACTTGCGCTTCATACATAGCCATGGAGGTAGGTTATAAATCATAAGAATCACAGGCCATGTGGAATGTGAGATACTTTGAAGACCATGCGGGTTCATTCCATCCGTAGATAATGCCAAGCGAAGGTTTCTTGTTTCTCCTCCAAAATCAGGATAATCATTATCAATTTTCTTCCACTGTGGTGCATCTGCCGGATGTCGAAACTTTCCATCGATAATTCTTTCATATGCATGCCAAGTCAAGTGTCTAGCATCAGTTTCACTATGAAACATGCGTCTAAATCTCGGAATAATAGGAAAATACCATAAGACTTTCGCTGGAGATAATTTTTTCTTATATCGAGATAAACCGCACTTTGGGCACTCATTCAACGATGCATATTCATTTCGAAACAAAATACAATCATTTAGACATGCATGTATCTTATCATAGCTCATGCCAATAGAGCACAACATTTTTTGGCCTCGTAGGTTCGATTAGGAAGAACATTATCCTCAGGAAGCATATCTCTCAAAAGGGCTAATAACTGTGTGAAACTTTTATCTGACCATCCATTGCGCGCCTTTAAGTTGTACAATTTTAATACCGCAGACAATCTTGTGAATTTGGGGCAATCTTTATACAACGGTTTCTCTGCATCGCTTACCAACCTCTCAAACATTTTGGGACAATCTTGAAGATCTTCTTCAAGTGCTTCTGCAATCTCTTCCACCCGATCACAATCATATGTATCCGTGGCATTGTCGTACGAAACATAGGTCGCATTACTTTTCACCCCCGGTTCAACATTCTCGATGCTTTTCTCACCATGAAATATCCAACACGTATAACTTCGATCAATTCCATGCATTAGTAAATGCGATTTCAATCCATCTGCGTCAACCCGGCCCACATAACAACAACCCAAGCAAGGACATTTCATTCTATTCGGGTCTTCAGCGTGTTCAACAGCAAACTTAACGAACTCTAATACCCCATCCTCGTACTCTTTTGACAATCGATCGGCACACATCCATTTTTTATCCATGGTTTTAACTATTATCTAAGTTAAAGACTCTGTGTTGTCAACAAAAATCAAACATGTGATTAGAACAATTCTAGAAATGAGGATTGTTGTGGTCCTATAACATATTCAATCAATGATCGTCAATGTTACTATTTTAGAGACATTAGCTTAGTTGTGAACTCATTCTAAGATTCATGATTTGTGTTATTTTTTACTATTACTAAGTTGAATATTAGATGGGGGATTTACATGATGTGATTCCTTTGTTCCTTGCAGGCATGTCTACATGAGCTAAGCATACATTATGAGAAACAGAAAAGAAACAATGTAGGGAAATTAAGTGTCATGTTGAATGGTAACTCCAACATCTCCTAGTTATGCTTTGTTATGACTCGGTTTGTCTCTGCTATGTACAAACTCAATCCTCCACTATCTTATTCTTCTCCCATCATTGAGAAATCTAAGATTATTAAACCCATTACAAGTATTTTGACTAGTCCATAATATATCTTAGATTTAAAAAAAATCAAAATAAAAGTTTCAAAAGAGAGAATAGAAGCCATAATACCTAAGGTTCCTCGGCTTTTACTCGCGGAGATTGTTAATTTTCTATTTCGCCGTAAGAAGAGAAACAATAAGAAGATGAAGATTCCAGCAAGAGCAGAAGAAGCAAACAATGCTAGTAGAATTCTCTTATTCAAATTCTGGTGATGCACTATTCTAACATCTTGATTTCCTGTATCATTCATTGTAAAAACAATACATCAAAGATTAACCGGTGGAAGTGCAGGAAATTCATTATCATCAATTTAAAACTAACAAGACCAAAACTATTAATCGTGGACACATTGCTTAAGCTAAAATAACCATCTAGTAAAATTAAATCTTAGAGTATACGTCAGTTGATGACATGAACTCACCTGATATGAGTAATGGGTGTGAACATCAATTGATGACATGAAACAAGATTGTGTAGGATGAGTCTAGCAATTCAGAATTATATACGTCAGCATTGCAACACGGATATGGGAAGAATATAGAAGTAAAAATAATAAATTTGTGTATGATATAAATGAAACCGAGGAGTGCTGCTAACAAGTAAAACACACATTTTCATTCTCTTTTAGTATTACATGAAATATTGAGTGGATCCCACTAAATAACATGGAACTACTCCTTATCAATGAGGCCTACATGCAATATTATCAAATAATTGGGTGTTGAAAATAATCTGTTTCTAATATTAACTAGAGTAACAAAACAAAACTTCAACTCTCCTTGTAAACAAATAGAATCACAACCTTATGATCATTGTATAAACAAAAGAGCTTACATCAAGTTGTAGCAAGTACACATGTATAGAAGAATGATACATTGATAATAATTATAATAGTTAAAAATATAAAATATCAAATTTGGAGTGTGTGTATTATCTTGAGATTCTCAAGTTCCTAACTCTAATAATACGCATGAAAATTTGCTTCATAATTGACCAAAATTTGTTTTTTCCCCATGCATGCCTTGTTATAAGGTTTCTCCATCATAAAATAAAAAATTAAATTAAAAACATATACGTAATTTCTTAACAGCAGTGTCAATGTCTTAGACAAGTTTTACTGATGTTGATTTCCCTGCCATACCATTACCATGATAACATCGACACTTTGCATTGATAAGTCAATAAGTGACCAAGAGTTTCACTTAAGTGAAATGAAAACCTGAATAAATGAAGTCTTTGCCACTGTAGTTGAAGTTGTGTTTCACAAGAGTTTCATTGTCAAAGCAAGACAAAGATGAGAACAATAAATAGATAAACCATAAAAAAACTTACCAGAGAGAAACATGATACCTTATGGTTTCAACACAGAAATTTGAAGCACCCCACTGTCATTAAAGAGAACAAAATAGACTTAACATAAGAAGCTAACGGAAATGCTTTAAATTAAAATGAATCAACACCAAATTACCGCCAACAATTAACAGCCCTATCTGAGATGGTGCACCGATTGACTCCAATGACGAATCTGATGCAAAGGCGGGAGACAACGACCTGTAAATCATAGATAAAAATAGAATTGAAAACCAGTTTACTTCAGACTCAAGATCACGCGAAAAAGCCAATACATAATTGACCACCACTGTAATACGCTCTCCAGACCACACAGTTGTCTTCCAGGCCAGCAAAAATAATTGTTGTTATTAAAATATTAGTATAAGATATGCAACAACACGTTGACAGATTATCAATTACACCAGAAGGACAAATGAAAAGAATATACCATTACATATTAACACTAAGAAACACATAGCTAATAACCCTCCCTTTGCCATGGTCAATAAATGCGTCATTGGTACCAAAAACTGCCTGAAGGCCACTCAACAGAACAATCAGAACAAAATTAATTCTATCCTCAATATTAGTGGGGATCTAACCTATAAAAAGGAAGATATTCATGATACTTTTGTTAACTACTTCAAGGAGTTGTTCAAAAGAAACGAAAACAGAAAAGCTTTCCCCTATCTCCATATCCATATCCATATATTCTGGGGGCTTTTATATTATCCATGCTTTGCAAAGCATCAACGGCCTCTTTCTCAGGAATGGGGCTGGTTAACATCTCTCTTTGCTCATTATTCAGTTGAGGACCACCCCTCATCATATATATATATATCAATTTTGTTTCTTTCATCCTCTGCAGTTCCCACCAATTGCCTATAGAATTGCATGATTTCATCTACAGTCTCAGCTTCACTATGTGTGACAATTCCATCTTCCTTTTGTAGGGCCAAAGTACTATTGTAATTTCGTCTGGATTTAATTGAAGCGTGGAAATACTTATTATTTCCATCCCCCAGTTGCAGCCAATTCAACTTGGATCTCTGCATCAACACTTTCTCTTCTACTTCCTGCCAACCAATTAAGGCATCACTACACTTTCTATCCATATTGATTTTCACAAGATTCATCCTAGCATTTATAAGTTCCTCTTGAGCCTGCTTTAATTCCATTCTTTCCTGATCTATTTTCTTGTTTATATACGCAAGAGGCTTGGACATTTCCCTTAGGATAGGTTGTAGCCTTTTTTGTTTTCTCTAAACTACAACCATTGGTCGCCCTGCAAGAGGCTCCCTCAAGCTGAGATTCACTTTCGACATGAAGTGGTCCATGTCTGCAACACAATTTGTAAACTTAAAGGTGTTCTTCCTCCTTCGCCTGTCATTCATAATTTGCTTCGAACATAGTAATGCATGGTCTGACACACTAGGCTGCATCACTTCAAGAGTATAATTCATATGGTCTTGAAGCCATTCTATATTACCAATTAGGTGATCTATCCTTGAATAGATGGGACATCCACTTTGATTATTTGGTCAAGTGAAGTTTTCACCCCTGCTGTCCATTTCATATAGTCCTGCCTTCTCCATAAACCCTTGCAAATCCCTGTATTCTGCTTCCTTGATTTGTCTTCCACCTATTCTGTCTGTGCACTTCAGAACATTGTTGAAATCGCCTAACAACATCCAAGATCCTTGTTGTTGCCTATAGATATTCACCAAGTTGTTCCACAATCGCTTTCTGTTTTCAATTTGATTATGGCAATAAATTGCAATCATCAAGTAAAGTTAGGTACCATGTATATCGTAGACACCACAATGTATCATTTGGTCTGAGCACTTGACCATTTGCACGTTCATAGTGCTGACATATTTTCTACTCTTATGAAACATGCTCAGACTAGTCACCTTATTATTGGAATTAAAGATGCAAAAACAGCTCCTAACATCACACATCTCCTCTTTGCGGATGACAGTCTGATTTTTTGCCAGGACACAACAAAAGAAGCTAGAAATCTAAGCAAAATCTTTCAGAAGTATCAAGACACCTCAGGACAAAAAATTAATTATAACAAATCTGAAATACAATTCAACTCTGGAAAGTTTCCAGAATATTCTTAACATTCCTATTGTCTGATCCAATTCAACATTGTCTGGGTCTCCCTACTCAGATCAACAAGTCTAGAAATCAAAGTTTTGGGTACATAGTGGACAGAATCAGAGATAAACTCCAAAGTTGGAAGGAAAAGACTCTATCCTATGCTGGCATAGTAACTCTTATAAAATCTATTGCTGAAGCTATTCCAAAGTCATTGGTTCTTATTATTGCAATATCCATCACCATTGGAACACTCTACCTTGTTTTTAGGCCAAAGCTTCCTAAATACTCAGTAGACAGATTGAGAATAGCACAGTTCAATCTAAGAAAAAGCTTCTGAAAGCTGTCTATTGCGCAATATCAGCCCCTTATGATAAGATGCTGGTCAGAATGAAGCATTGGAGCACCAGGCTTCTATCTTATGCATGTAGATATCAATTGATTAAAAGTGTGATCTTCTCAATAGCTAACTATTGGCTATATTGAGAGGTTCTGCGGAAGTTTCTTATGGACAGGGAAGGATAGCCCTAGTAGGAAAGCCTCCATATGCTGGTATGATGTATGTGACTCTAAAGTTGAAGGGGGTCTAAACCTGATATTCCTCAAGGACTGAAACAAGACCACTATAGGTAAGCTTTTGTGGAATTTATGTGTTAAAAAAGATACTCTTTGGATTCATTGGATACATAAGTTTTATATGAAAAATGCTGATTGGAAAAGGTACTTCCTACTGTGCATAACTCCTGGGTCCTAAAGGATATGTTTAAAAATAGGTATGTGTTTGTTAACTCTACTGCCTGGAGTATATTTCAACAAACAGGGAAATATGTTACTAGGGTAGCTTACCATATGTTGAGAGGAGACAAGCCAAAGGTGGCTTGGAGAAAGTTGATCATGAGAAATATGGCAAGACCTAGAGCTACCTTCACCTTTTGGTTAGCTTGCCATGGAAGATTACCTACTAAAGATAGAATGCAGAAGTACGGAGTGCAAACTGATGGTCTTCGCGTCTTTTGTGGGTTACATGAGAGTTGTCAGCACCTCTTCTTTGATTATGTTGAAACTAATCAGATTTGAAGTCAGGTTCTAACATGGTGTGGTGTTAATCATACGCTTGGAAAATGGGAGGACGAGCTAGTTTGGTTGAGTGCTAGAACTAGGGAGAAAAGCAATATAGGGAAGCTGATTAGGACGACAGTTGCTGAATCTATTTACAATATTTGGAGCATTAGGAACCGAGTCATTTTTCAAGGCTTCAACAAAGGTAATCTCAACAGTAAGGACATTATTGATGTGATTGTAATGTGCATCGAGCTAGATAGAAAGCTTAGTGAATTCTGTAAGAATTTATAGTTGTGGTTTGGTTGTTGCCTTGTTTAGTATAGAGAGCGTGGATCTATCGATCGATTTGTATCTGAACTGTTTTTAGAATTAAAAAAAATCATCATAACTTGGGTCAATATAGGGATCGCTTTTCCTTGTATACGAACATATTGACAATGGAAACTTGGGTCAATATTGCATGGTTTAGGTAAGATCAGCAAGAACACGTTATTAGAGATGAAGAAGAACACTTACTTGGAGATGAAGAAGAACACGTTATTGATAAATGACAGCGATTTGTGAAGATGAAGATAATTTCAAACCGATGAAGATGAAGTCGTTTGAGAGGAGGGTAATGGAGATGACGAATGGAGAAGAAGATGAACAGCGCGATTTGTGTTTCTGGAAATCTGATTTAGGGGTTAGGGGTTTAGAAATAAATTAACAAACCAAAGGCAGCGCTTTCAAGAAGCGCTGCTAAAGGTACCCCCCTTTAGCAGCGCTTTAGGCTTACCCCCCCTTTGGCAGCGCTTTTAGATTTACACAAAGGCAGCGCTTTCAAGAAGTGCTGCTAAAGGTACCCCCTTTAGCAACGCTTTAGGTTTACCCCCCTTTAGCAGCGCTTTTAGACTTACACCTTTAGCAGCGCTTTCAAAAAGCGCTGTCTAAAGCATACCCTTTAGCAGCGCTTTTATTAATTTTTTAATTTTAATTTTTTTTAAAACCTTATAGCAGCGCTTAGTGAGAAAAAGCGCTGCCTTTGATGAGGCCTATAGTAGCGCTTTTAGTAAGCGCTGTCTAAAGTTTTTTTTTTTTGGATACCTACAGCAACGCTTTTGCATAAGCGCTGTCTATGTAGCGATGCCAAAACTCGTTTTTGGCGTAGTGCTTTGATAAGGAATTACGAATGGCTTCTTCACACTTTCTTCAATTGTTGCTATATACTTAACTTTAGGGTATGGTACGAATTGGACTATCCCCTGGTCCACAAATTATTGTAAGGTTTTTTCGAAATCTTCGTTATGTTCAAGAAGAAATCCACATTCCAACAAATATTCTTTCAACAAATGTATCAGAGACTTTGCTTGTTTTCCTGCCCCACAGTAGGTGACTACTTCGATTACATTTATTATCGGACCATCATGCAGAGGCATGGGGTTTGCTTCTGTAGTCCACTTCCTATAATTCAAAGTTCTCAAAGAATCTTTTTGACTTTTGATTGGATTTTAACTCTTTGTGAAAATCCTAGCCAACAACAACATATATAATTACCGAACATAAAAAATATAAAATATATTTCTGCATAATGCATCATTTATTATTATTTTTTCACCATTATATTTATATTTATTAACTTTCATTTTAATCAAATACTCTATTAACTATAATTAATAGTGGTATTCTAGTAATTGATACCTCATCTGGTCTTTATTATAAGAAAAAAATTAATTTTTTAAGTTTATTGAAGAATCATGTATTTGAACTACATATAGTCCAAATATATTAATTCTTCAATGAATCTAAAAAATTAATTTTTTCTTATATTAAAAATTAAAAATTAAAAACAGTATTAACTATTTTACTAAAACTAATATATTTAATTATTTTCTTAAAAATCACACATATTTAAATATGACACTTTTTATGGAGGAGTATAAAATAGCATTTGCAAAAGAAAATTAGAGTAAAATCCGCTTGAACTTCCGCATGAAACGCCGTTGTCTCGCAGTTAATTTTTGGATGCACCCGTTATATTAACAAATGTTAAATACTAACGTGGAATTTGTTGCCAAAAATTTAAAGATGTGTTAGAAAGATAAATTCCAGACGTGGTTCAGGGTCATATTTAAATTTTTATAAAATTTTGGATATATGTTTATTAAACAACCCCTTTATTATATAAAACCCTTGAATTCCAAATTATAGGTCTTAATTATGAACAATTAGTCAGCATGTTGTCGTGATCAATTCTGTAGTTAATAATTAGCAGCATCAAGCACATGGAAGAGATCAAATGCCATGGTCCAACAATGATCTCCATTTCAACATACAAGATTCGTCAATGTTTAGTATTTCCCATATACAAAACCGTCTATATTAATTGTTATTTAAAATTTTTTAAATTTTTATCACTATTATATAAAAGTCATTAACTTTTAAATTAATTAATGTTTATATTATTATTATAATTTTAATTTAAATTAAAAATATTCAATGTTAATAGTTGGTTAATTAAATATAATTAAAATATAATTAATTTTTTTAATCTATATAAAAATAATTATTTTAGTTTATAATTGTGATCGGAACGAGTATATGTCTAACCATGTTCTGAATTAACAATTAAAACTAGATTCGTGAACCTATGTAATTAGCCAACATGTGTGCATGTTATGGTGAAGCTGATTAAAATCATGAGTCACAACATCCACCACATGGGAAAGAGAATGAGAATTCAACAACAATGATCCCATTTCAACATAATTTTAGATTATAGCTCATCATAATTTTCTGTTTTTGTTTCTATTTTCTTATCCAACTAGCAAAAACCCGTGCGAAAGATTGTTATCATTTATTTCATTGTAGTCAAAATTAAATATTATAAAGAATATTTGTCACATGTAATTATTGTTTATTTAATAAAATATTTGTCACATGTAAGAATTGTTTATTGATTCAATAGTTTAATGATTTACTTATTTTTAAAAAATTAAAAAATTAATAATTAGTATAGAATAATTATTTATATTTTTATGTTGTTAATATTAAAAAAAAAACTAATCTTTTAGCATTTGCATCGATTTTATCATAAATTATAATGAATGTATCATAAATATTTTATTTTAATTTAAATAAAATGATAATAAGTATTTAAATTGTTTTGGATTGGATTTGCTCTTGGTCCAACTCCATGTGAGGTCCAACCTAATTATGTTGTTTATGATCAGCTGATCGAATCTGTCCTCGATTGTGTCGAACAGTAACTCCCACTCTTTGAGAGGACGTTGTTTCGTTACATGGGAATGAACCCATGAAGATGTGAGAAGGAGCATCACCGGGCAAGAGGACCTCGAAAGTATCCTCTAGGCTTTTTCTCGAGCAAGATTGATCCTCCCATACGGTCTCATGGCTGGCGGGGATCCTGCGCGACAAGCAGAAGTATCCCACAGACATCCTCCTCGTAGGACTGAATATAAACGCCTCCAAATATCATGGAGTCCACTTGAACCCAAAAAGACCGCATCCATATTCTCCTAGTCATGCGGAGAAATTCATCCAGGCAGGAGACCACGTGTTGGTCCCCACTACTCACGTAGAACCTGACAGACTCCACTTTGGGCCAGCTTGCCCAACTCAATGAGGGTTCCTTGGTCCATCGCTGGGGGCTATAAATACGCTCTCACTTGAGAGGGTCAGGTATTGATCATTTCTTACTCACTCTTACTTGCTTGCATCATTCTGAATCTCACTTTGGCATCAGAGTGTCTTGCAGGTATCCCCACCTCACTTTCAACTTCTGCTCGACGT